CAGATAAGATGCATTCTTCCAGCCTTATTTTTCTGCAGGAAGCCTCCAACTGGATGTTCATTTCCCAATGAACACAGTAGTTCCAGCTTAGAATTTCCAAGTTCCACAAAAAATGACAGAGATACTCCCACTGCAGGAAGAGAGGCCATTGTACTAAACTAGACCCCTAGCATAATTCTGATGAAAAGACTTGGCCATCTTCAAATCAGCTACTATAGCTGCTACCTGATTTAGTCAGTCTAGATTCTTTGAAGTCCAATGCTGGGGGACCTATGGCCTCAAGGCCATACGTGGCCTTCTAGGTCCCTTGGGTGCGGCCTTTTGACTGAGTCCAAGTTTTACAGAACAAATCCTTTTATTAAATCGATTTGTTCTGTGAAGTTTGGATTCAGTCAAAGGGCTGCACTTGAGGACCTAGAGGGCCACAGGTTCCCCCCCCTCCCGCCCCCCCGGGCCATTCTGAGACAAAGGCTGTAATCATGAAGAAGTTCTTAAAGTCGGAGGGAGAGTTTGCAGGCTGGTGAAACTCTCTGCAGCAGCATCCACTGCCTGCAGCCCCTACACCACACTCTATATATGTGTCCTCCTGAGGGGGCCTGAACTCATTGTTTTTTATTACATTAGAAAATAATATCATTTTATTATTGGAGATTACATTAAAGAAGTATTAACACCTGCTTTGCTGAAGCACGGTTCAGCTCATGGGGCTTTTCCATCCAACAGGAAGCTGAAACCTTCCATATGTGTTGTCTCCCCCATTAGAATATGAGCTCCTTGAAAGAAGGACTGACTTATTTTTCTATTTGTATCCCCAGTGCTTAGTACAGTGCTTTGTACGTGGTAAGCCCTCGAAAAATGCTTCATTCATTCATTTATCTTCCTAACGTCCCTATTACTATGAAGGGTACTACCGTCCTCCCAGTCGCACACCTAGGCATCATCCTCTACTCCTCACTCTCAAATCCCTTAGCCAATCTGTTGCTAAGACCCAGCATTCTACCTTTGTAACATCTCTCATATAGGCTGCCTTTCCTCCTATGACACTGCCACCACCCCAGCTGCAGGCCCTTATCACCTCACACCTGGCCGATTGCAGTAGACTTCTGGTTGGTTTTCTGGCCTCAACTTACTCTCCTCTCCAGTCCATCCCCCATTTAGCTGTCAAAGTGATCTTCCTAAAGCCCAGGACTGACCATGTTACTCGCCTATTCAACATATGCCAGTCTTTCCTTATTGCCTCCAGAATCAAACATAAAATCCTGTTTGACTTGTAAAGCCCTCCCTAACCCGGCCCCTTCCTACCTTTCCAGTCTTCTTACACCTTACTTCTCTCCATGTCCTCTATGATCCAGTGACACTCACTTCCTTGCTGTTTCTTGCAGTGGACAGTCTTACCTCCTGATTCCAGGTGTTTTCAATGGCTTCCCCTCATGCCTGGAACTATCTCCCTCCTCATCTACAATCCCACTTTCTTCGAGAAGCCCTTGCTAGTCCTCCTTAATGTTAGTGTCTTCACCCTGATTGTCTTTTTTTATTTTTTATTTTGCATATATTATTTTTACATAGCTAGATGCATGGTATCTCCCCTATTACTCTGTAATTCTCCCCCTTGAGAGCAGCGAAGGTTTTCTTCCCTTTCTTTGTATCTACAGCACTTAACATACATACTGGCACATAATAGGTACTTAATAAATGGTTATTGACTTGACTACTTTATAGAGTCATCAGACCCTTCCAGGAGCAACCAACTTACCCCATCTCCAGCTCCTGGGAGGTAGCTCTTGACAGTGATAGTACGTCCAGGAGCAGGGAAAGGTGCTTCCATGACACTCCGCATGAAAGGATATACAAGTGCTGGAGACATCTCTCGCCTCTTTTCCGCCTCATCCAGAATCTGTAGGAAAAAATCATTAAATTGCTGTCCCCTCAGAGTTAACTGTCCTTTTCTGTAGTGGACCCATGTGTGAGAGAGATCCCAGAATTGCCAGCCAGTCTGTGTGCAACATTCACATGTTACCCAGCCCCTAATCTGAAATCATAAATACCACCAAATAAGTTCTCCCAGCCAACCAGATATCTCCAAAATATTATATTCCAGTCATCCCCTTGGAACAGAAACACATTTATCTTTATCTTTCTAGTGGAAGGATGGGGGTTGATTCAAACAATCACCTCACTTCAATTAAAGTAACTACCTTAATCAGCTGCAAATATATGTATAGAATCAGTAAGTCAAAGGTATTTGATTTTCAAAATGTCCTTAATCAATTGGAAGGGATGAAAGTCATTTGATGAAATGAAATGACACTACAAAAGAAATGTATTAAGATATGCTGAAGAGGCCCAATCATACTATGTGGGTTATGGATAAAGAAGAAGCCAGCTCCAAACCTGGGCATTTGAGTGTCGAAGCATTCTACAGAAAAATTGCAGCCAAGTTCTGACCAATAATTGCTTGGGGGAGGAGGAAGGGTACGGCCCTTTTCTCCTCCCCTGCCTTGACCAGAATATGATACTGTAAACTCTGAAAGGTGGGAAGATTTTGTTTGGACTTTCATGGGCATGCCAGCAGCATCTCCGGAACAGATGACGGTAATGTCTGCATAAGGAGCCAAGGAAAATTTAGATGCAAGACCTCACAAAGGGGAGAAAGTGACTTCTAGCAACTAACAGCTATCAGCTACCCCTTTGCTACCTATGCTGTCTAAGCGCGAGCCCGCCTTCCCTGCTTCCCTGTCCCTGTGGGAATGTATGTCCCTGGGTTAGGGAGGTGGTTGTTGCACCATATGTTTTTTCTATACAACCTTAGTGAATACCTATTTTAAAAAGCCAAATAAGTCTAGCTGGCCAATCGACATTAATTGATAATCAATGGGGGACACACACGAGTGGAGGCTCATAGGAATAACACTAGAAGAATCACTCCACAATTCCTCAAGGTTTTCCCCGGAACAGTGAGGTAGAAGAACCTGCCATATCCTGGGGTTTCAGTCTGCCAGTGAGTTTTGGGAGCATGAGCCCTGGGGCCTATGCTGCACTAGAATAACATTAGGAGCAGTAACAACATTAAAAATAGTTCAAATTTATGTGGGGTTTTGAGGTTTACAAAGTACTTTCCTCACAACACTGTGAAATAGGGAATATAAGTTTTATCCCTATTTTATAGATAGTGGAACTAAGGCTCAGAGAGTTTAAAATGACTTGCCTATGGTCACAAAGATAATAATTATTAGAATCAGGACTTCAGTCCAGGTCTCCTGAATCTTAGTCAATGACAACAGCAAAACCTAATAATAATAGCTAGCATCTATACAGTGCTTTAAAGTTTGCAAAGTGCTTTATAAATATTTTTTCATTTTATCCTTACAAACAGCCCGAGGGAAGTAGGTGCTATTCTTTATCTCCATTTTACAGATGAGGAAACTGAGGCAAACAGAGGTTAAGTAACTTACCCAGTGTCATTTAGCTAGGACCACATGCATCCTTTACAGCAAGGGTATGTAGTCTTTTTGTAAGGTGTAGCTACTTTCTTTTCCTTGAAGCATTGAGATGACTAGGTAGACACGGAGGGGGTGGTGTTCTGAAATGTTATAGTCTTAGAGAGTTGCCTCTGGGCACTGACAAGTAAAATGTCTTGTCCAATGACACACAGCCAGTAATGTGTCAGAGGTGGGGCTTGAACCCAGGTCAATTTAATAGCAACAAATATAAAGTCCTTTTGTTGTTGTTCTGTTGTTTCAGTTGTGTTTAATTCTTTTTTTAGGCAATTGGAGTTAAGTGACTTGCCCAGGATCACACAGCTAGTAAGTGTCAAGTGTTTGGTCTGAGGCCAGATTTGAACTCAGGTCCTCCTGACTTCAGGGCCGGTGCTCTATCCACTGTGCCACCTAGATGCCCCATGTTTAATTCTTTATGAGCCCATTTGGGATTTTCTTGGCAAGGAGATAGGACTGGTTTGTCATTTCCTTCTCCAAGCTCATTTTACAGATGAAGAACTGAGGCAAATAGGCCTAAGTGACTTGTCCGGGTCATACAGTCATACACACACACACACACACACACACACACACACACACACACACACACACACAGAGTGGTTCAAAGCAGTCTGGTGGGAGGGAAGGAAGGGGTCAAGTGTTTCTACTGACCACACTTTCTCCTTGACTGGAAATTCAACCACGTTATAGAAGGTGGAGATCTTACCAGGTAAATAGTTCAAAATCTACTGCTTATTGCTTAGCACAGTGCCTGGCATATAGCAAATGCTTAATAAATGCTAGTTAGGTGATGACTGATTGTTTCCCCTTGTGGTAAAGTAACATTTAATTCTGTGTCCATTCACACTAAATAGAAAATTCCTAAGAAACAAAAAAATAGCATCTTTAGAGCCCAAAGAGAATACCTGCCAGACAATACACAGATTTCACTCACCTTTGAAAAGAGGTTGAAGCAGCCCAACCGACTAACCATGCAATACACCTCAGGCAGTCTCTTCCCTTTGCCTTCTGGCTAAAATATAAGAAAACAATGCAGAACATGATGTACGTCCATATGCTATGAGGACCAAGCTGGAGGCAAAGCACTCTCCCTTATTACAGCAGAATTCTGGGAAATTCCAGTAGGATACATTCCCTATATTGTCAGGGTTCCCATGCAGAAAGAGCTGGGGTGACAAGTGAGTAGCTTGGAGCTGCTTTATATGGTATGCTTTACTCCTAGATCTGTCTGTAATGGAATTAAGCAACTATGTCAGAAACCTCTTTTTTTATGTATTACTACAAATTATTCTCTTCTAGCCTCTACCTTGCAGTGATTGCCTAATACTAGCACTGTGTCAATATCATAAACAGACCACTGTGTGGCTGACACACTACCTCCAGAGATATTTTATTTCTGAAAGACTTGCCTCAGCCATACCTACCATTCCACTTATCACTGTACTGGCAGCATCAGTCTGAGACTTACCAACAGCTTCTTGCAGTAACCAAACCACCGGCTCCCATCTTCGCCCGTCAGCACAAAGGAGAAAGTTTCACTGTAAAGAAAGTCACCAGTGGAGCATGAGATGTGAAGCTTGAAGCAGGTTTGAAAGCTATACATGGGGTTGAGACTGGGAAATGGGAATATATGTGTGTATGTGTATGTGTACATGTATATATATGGATTTGGAGCCAGAAGACTTGTCATCAAATCTGGGCTCTTTGTGGCCTCGGGCAATCAGTTCACTTCAGTTAGCTCATCTCTAAAATGAGGGGTATAGCCTATAGACTAGATGACCTATAAGCCCTGTTTCAGTTCCAACACTATGACCTGGAAATTAGAGCAAGGCCACTCAGTTTGAGGATAATATGGGGCTGAACCACTTGGACAGCATCTCAGGCCATCATATAGTAGGATATAAGTATTTAGTGTTGCACATACATCAAGGTTTCCAGACTCAAAAAAGCATCGGGGCTACATCTACATGCTAAGAGCTATACAGACCTGGGCAGGATAGAGCAGTCTACAAACACTGCTGTCACTTTCTCTTTCCCACAAAGGCTGGGTGGGATCCACCTGGTCACACCCTTCACACTAGAGCCTCCCTTAAAAGTTCTACAGAATAAACAACCTGGGCTGTGGTTCTTGCAAAAAGCCTGAGAGAAAAACAAGGTGGAGACACTTTTGATGCAGTTTCCAGACCAAAACCCAAATCTCCTGCCTGCCGCTGGGGGGCATTCCTGGCTTTTGGTCAACCAGAGGAGTAATTGTTAAGGCCTTTCTCAAATGTATTTCCCTTCACAGACTGAAATATTCCAGTGTTTTTCTTTTCTTTTCTTTTTTTGAGCTCCCACAGAGGGAAAGTTCTAATTCTGTTTCTTCCTTTCCTCCCACTCCATCCTTCTTCATCAATGATGGCATTCACTTAAGCTCCATTCCGGTCCTCTCAGGCACTGTGGCTCCACTTCCCACTGTTCTAAACCACAGTAGCCAGCCAAGTACATGAGTCCACTCACCTCTTCAGTTCTGATGTAGGCACCCAGTCGTTAGAATCTGGGAAACAGAAGCTGGGGATGACTTTGAGCCTCTCCTCGGTGTCTCTGGATTGCTTGAATGATTGTTCAGCCTGAAAAAGACAACATCTTTAGTGATTAGAGCCCTACACCTTTTGAAAAGGGGAGCCCAGCCAAGCCCCAATGATAGAGATATATAATAAGCCTATGTAGTCATTTTGGTATTCTTAAATGGGATTACGCATATAATATAACTTGACAAAAATAAGAAAGTCGTAGCTGGTAATGACATAAACTGTATTGATTAAGTTATACCAGGAATGAGGAATTCTCTCTTTGCACAGGATACTTTTGGGGATTCCATAATCCTCTGTCAGAGACATGGATGCAAATAATCTGTTTCTTATCTAAAAGTTGATTCTTTACTCATTAATCAAATAGACTAACTCAGGAAAGAGATACAGGAAGTACTGGGATCCAAAATGAACATAAACACATTCCCAATTATGCTGATAACAGAAGTTCTGACTGTTCCTGTCAGTGATCAATAATCAAAGATGTTATGACAGGCAGATAAAAAATATTATTTTTGGGGAAGAACTATTTTGGGAGTCAAACCCATGTATAATCATTGCTTCTACCATATAATCTTTGCTATGTAATTACTGGTTTGTTGTTTCCTGTAAAATCTAGCATGAAAAGAGTCTTTTATGCAAGTTTGTCATTATATTTAACAAAATAGCCTAAATTGAGAAAAATTAACATTTTAAAAATCATTAGTTTGGCTTGTTCTGCTACAATGACAAGCAGATAAGAAACTTGATTATTCCACTGCCTCTTTCTAGCTAATAAAGATGGCCTACCATTCATTCCATTTTATCAAGAAAACAGGCCTTTGGGGGTCAGGATGAATCCCAGGATTCAGTAATAAATATATTCTAGCTGCGTCTTCTATTTTAGCCTCCACCAAAGTTCAACTCTGAAGCCTCATTATGGCATGGAGGGGACCCTGGGTTCTTGAAGAATATTCCATAAGAGTGAATGCTCTACCAAATCCTACCAAGATGGACAAACTTCAAGTATGGGTCCACCTCATAACCATCCTGGCTGAGATTAGTAAGGCCCCTCATCAACCAGGTCACCAGCTTAGGAAGTTTCGTGGTCACAGAAACTTATAAAGACATCTCCTAAAGCACAGAGAGGAGTTCCTCTCTGAGTCAGGACATCACAACTCTTTTGAAGCTAACATCTTTATTTATGCAACATCTTCCACCTCAGCTTTTACCTCCTCTTAAAGTATAACTAAAACATGAGGGAAGAGGCCAAGTTACTTGCCTAAAGACATCCAATGAACCCAAGTCACTTCCTGGTCTAGTTCTGAACCCACTAATACACTTATAGGTAAAGGTTGGTGATGATAAAAGAAACAGATTAAATAAAAGTTAAAAAAAAAGCATGAGCATGCACGCACACACACACACACACACACACAACACACACACACACACACACACACACACACACACACACACACACCCTGCCGAATGACCCTAGATCTCCTTCCTTAAGTACCTTGCTGGGGAACTGCTGTATGACCTGAGGAGTATATGCTATTTCCAGTGGTTTCTTCTGCAGAGATACCACAACAAAGAGTTCAAATAACTGCTGTTCCTGGAGCTCAATGAGGTCCCGCTCCAGGGTCTGATAGTGAGGGTTCCTCTTAGATGACTGCTGTAGCTGTGCTATTCGCTTGTGGCGATCTGTGAGGAAATCAAAGAATGTTATTTTTCCTTTGCAGGGAGCCTTGCTTCCAGCACCTGGAGATCACACCTAATTTAAGGGTCTTCCCAAAGAATATCTAATGAATGGTGACTAACTGATGTCTGCTAAATTGACACACTTTAGACCAGAGGTTCCCAAATTTATTTGGCCTACCATATGAGTTGTCCCCCTCTAAAAAAAAAAATTACTCAGCATCCTTCTGGAAATTTCATTTTTAATCCTTTAACAGGTTTTTTTAAAAAAATTTGCATCATTTAAAAAAATATAAAATTTTTTTAAATGATGCATCTTAAATTTAATAATTTATTGTAAATTTGTGGGGTTTTTCCTGTATTGAAATTTTGATGATGCAATTTTGCATCATGTAACCATATAGTATTGTATTATAAACAAATCATTACACACATATATTCCTGCCAATGCATGCTGGACTTCCCCACAACTTCAACATAGCATGCTCACCTGCCAACATTTGCGTGTTAAGACCTGTTAGTGGACTTGACCACTGATTTACTTATAACTCGAATTTTGTTTGTTTACTTGGAAAATAATGTAATCACTACAACTTTAACTGTGTTACACAACAGATGAAACATGTACAAATGGTTTTTAAATTTTTCTTTTCTTCTTTCTTTATACTTCCACCACCCTCTTATTTTTATTCAATGGCTCCCAATAGCATCTGAGGCTACTACCCCCCCCACAGGTCCAGTGCCCCCTCCAGGGGGCAGTATCAACCACTTTGGGAACCTATGCTTGGACAAGCAAACACAAATGTGATACCGAGGTTCTTATGTTAGCATCTCTTTAATGACTCATCAATTTCCTCTTAAGTTTCTGTTCTGCTACCGAGGCCATCAAATCTAATGTAAAACCTATGCCAAAAAAAAGGCTTTTGTTTTTGAAGAAAATCTGGTTAATGACAGATGCCACTGTTAGGTTTATGGTATCTTGATTTTAAAAAAGCACAGTCCTGAAAGTTGCAGGGTCAGCTTTTAATAACTTCACAACAAAATGTATCTTCTCATCAGAGAAATCCTTTTCCTTTCCCTGTTTTTTCCATGACACACACTGTTTAAAAAAAATTCAATATATGCTTACATCAATGAATTGGGGTGTACCAAAAAGGAAAAGTAGAGAAAGAAAAAAGACATCTTTAAACTAATTATATCATGAAAGTACATGCCACATAAAGCTCTAACATCCCAGGAATCAGTGTATAATTCTGACCCAATAAGACTAGACATGTCTTATGACTCATTTTTTTTCCTAGAGTTACAGTTCATTCTCCTTCCATTCCACAAGTTAAGTTTCATTGCAGATCAAAAGTTTCTCTATGGAAATTCATACAAGATGCCTCAAGGAGTGAGCGGCCCCACTGGTTCCAAATATCTTTCATAGCAGTATTCAGTAAATCCCATGCTCTAGGCAAACTTCCATCCCAAATGGCTGTTCTGCTTCCAGCAAGTTAGATATTCAGAGCCTGCTTCTATGTGCCAGCAACACTGAATTAGTCACTATTAACGCATCCAAACTGAACTGGCGATCATCTGGGTTTCACCTTCACCCAGACTACAGAATGAAGCAACATGGACCAGCGGAGTGAGAGTTAAATGTACTTTGTTAAAAATTCATCACCTACTCTGATTTCTGAAATTTATATACTCTTTGACTTTGTTCTTACTTGCTTGTATGCTTAACCTGCCACAGGCTTCACTTCCATTTTAGGCCTGGCATGACACTAGATTTCTAAACTTCGGGTCTTTAAGATTTATAGTAGAACTTATCTAATTTGCCTTATGATGAATTAATGATAAGCTCCTTGAGGGCAGTCTCTCTTCGTATTTGGATTCCAAGCACCTAGCACAAAATTTGCACATACACTTGTACATATCATGCACTAAATACTTAATACATGTTGAATTAAATCAAATTCTGGGATTTGAGTCCTATGCCTGAGACTGTCTCATACCCAGTTCCTTTTTCTGACCACCTCTACATCTCTTGCTACCATTCTGTTAAACAGAAACAAAATAATTTACCCTGAAGCAACCATTTGAAATTAAATTAAATGAAGTTGTACTACACCCCCAAGGTCCTTGGAATAAACATATCAGTGAAATAAGTCATCCTAATTGTTCTAACTATGGGAAATAACTTCACACAATGGAAAATTAAAAGGGGCTAAATGTCGTGTTTCTGAACTATGAACTATCTAATTGACTTCAATAAATGCGTTCCAGGTGTTGGGCGCCTAAAAACTTGGGCCCTCACTGATAAATAACCAATTTAGATAATGATTCACCTGCTCTTCTTCGGACGCAGACTACAGCACCAGACTACGCAGGTACTCTGTGCCACCCCCATGGGCCATTCCAACCCAACTGTCATATTGGGCTGTCTTTCTCTGTTACATAAACATTTTTTTAAAATAAAAAACATCCTGACAATGCACTGTTGAGCTGCCTAGAATCAACAGGTATCAGTGGTAAGGGAATAACCAAAAACATGAAACTCCATCTGATAAAAGTCAGCTTAATCACAACTCCACACCTCTAACCACACTCATCATGAAAATGGAAAGAGCTCCATTGACTCACTCACTCTTTGGCAGATATTCTGCGTCACTTTCGTTCCCACTGGCTTCACCTGAAAGGACAGAAAAGATTTTCATTTGTATACTGTACATTGTGATGGGAAGTTGAAAGAGTATGAAATAATTGAGATCCTCCTATCTAGGGTAACTGACCAGTGGGAAGTTTCATAGACTTTGAGACCCACCGTAAGGAGCCACAGATATACATGGCAGATCTATACCCGGCCTCTCTTCTCATCATCTCCAGCTGTCATCCCCCTTTGCTTCCAGTATTCAACAGTAAGGAAACAAAGGCTTAAAATAGAAATTACAGGCTAATCTTGCCTACTTCCCACTGCTCAATCCTAGGAAAAAGTTCAGTTCCAGATCAATTCTAGAAACGTAAGTCTAGCTGAGAATGGGCCTTTTTTGCCCTCTGCTATGTACAAAAGATATAGGAAAGGTAGGATGAAGTCTAGTTAGATAAAACAACAACAACCACAACAACAATTCACAGTTAAAACACGAATGGGAATGCCAAAAAAGAGTGAAAGTGTGGGCAGGAGTTGGTACAAAGAAATATTCCACCTCCCAGAAGAAAGCTCAGTCTCCTCTGGGCCTACATCTTTCCCTTACCCTTAATTCCTTTGTTTTACTCTAATTATTGTGTGTTTGTATATGGGCCTGAACAGGCATTGTATTCCCCAGATAAACTGTAAGCCCCTTAGACCATTCATTATCCTTTGTATCCAACACGTGGTCTGGCAATTCAATTCAGCTAAATACACTAGAGGACAGAATCTGGATCCAAAACAAATCTGGACAATGGAAAAATGTGCCAAATCTGTAAGATGAAATTTAAGAGGACCAAGTATAAAGTCTGGATTTTAGTTGTTTTTGTTGTTGTTTAATCAATGGCACAAACACAGGACTTCAAACCAGGAGTTACCAAGTTTCTCATCCCTGGAGGTGTTTAAGTGAAGGATGGAGGACCACTTCTTGGCATGCTATTTCCTGGAATGCCCACGAAACCATGATAATAATGCTGATCCTGCCAGGCTCATCTAATGACTTGAATTGGTTCCAGGTGGAGAGCTGAGAGCAGTAGAAAGGAGAAGAGAACTCTTTTCATGAAAACTATTCTAAATCAGTGTGGAATCCTCAGACCAGAGGCATAATTCAGTCCACAAAGTATCTCCTCCCCATCCTCACCCCAAGGTGTCCCTTTCTTCCTCCCACTGATTTTTAATTATCCTTTGTACATGCTAATGACCTTGCTTATGTAGAAATGAAACATTTTCAAGGCCAAGTTGGAACAGGAAGAGATATGATAGAACAAAGAACACTTCTAAGGCAACCCGCTTTTCCCATGGTAAAAAAAAAATGTCCATGATAGCTATGTATTTTGGATTTTGAAAAAAATCTGAGAAGTTTGAGGCTGGCTGGAAGCGGTGGTATATTCCTCTTTCTGTAGGCTTAGGAGGAATCTCAGAGAACATTTGCTTTCTCTCTTTATACCAGAAGATGGGCTCTAAGTTTGTGTTGGAGAAGGAATTATGTGTTTGTGTTTGTCTTTCTTTTTCAGATTTCTGATACTTTTTGAGGGCTAGCTGGCTCAGGATCACAGAACTGGAGCTGGAAGGCATCTTGGAGGCTGTCTACCAGGGGTGGGGAATCTGTGGCCTTGAGGCCACACGTGGCCCTCTAGGTCCTCAAGTCCAGCCCTTTGCCTGAACCCAAACCTCACAGAACATTTGTGTGGATTCACTCAGAGGGCTGCACTTCGAGGACCTACAGGGCCTGGAGGCCAAAAGGCTCCCCAACCCTCTCCTTTTGAAGACCAGGAAACTGAGACCCAGTGAAGTTAAGCCACTTGCCTAAAGAGAAAAAGGTAGGAAGCACCACACAGGTGGAATTTTAATCCAAGGTATTGGTTACTCCAGACTCAGTGGTGTTGACTCAGCCATGCTTAAACCTTCCCACTCTCTGCCTTACCAGGAGCATCCCAGCAAAAACGGTCCTATGGGACTCTCTTCAAGGTATCTCTGTCTAATCTTATTGGAGGTTTTTTTCCCTGCAGAGCTCCAGCCTCCACTTTGGTCCCTAACTTTCTATTCTTGAGCAGGGGTCTTCCATCTCTCATAGATCTTAATCCAGTTCATCTCCCGTCTGTGTGCATCTTCTCTGCCTGACTGTGACACGTAAGAGTTCCTGTTAGTAGTTGTTAAAGTTAAATCCCCACATTCATCTAATATTTGTGAAGCACCTACTACGTGTAAAGCACTACAGAGTTCTTCAGGCAGGGTAGTTCTGATTGAACAAACTCCCATGGTGATGAGCATTGATCTGCATATCTATCTTTAAACTTAAATTTCCCAACATCTAATTTGTTTCCTTAATAAACTATTTTTGTTTTCAAGGGGAATTTTGAGAGTGTAATCTTTTTTTTTTTTTTAGGGAACTGGGGTTAAGTGCCTTGCCCAGGGTCACACAGCTAGTAAGTGTCAAGTGTTGGGTCTGAGGCCGGATTTGAACTCAGGTCCTCTCGACTTCAGGGCCGGTACTCTATCCACTGCGACATCGAGCTGCCCCGAGAGTGTAATCTTCCAAGCTACACTATGGCCAAAGTTTTAAAAAATGACATGATGTCATAAGATATGTAGAAGCAGTTGATGTCCACAGGGGAGTCTAGCTCACAGTTCTGGGAGAAAATGCAGGAATCTCAAAAAAAAAAAAGTCTTGCTACCAGCTCTGTTGGACAATTCAGGTGTAGAATTAAAAACCACAGGATACTTGATAATACACTTGTTGCAGATGTTGTAAACAGGATTCATGCTTTAGGCAAAAATTGAATCAGAAGTGACCTCGGAGGTCCCTCCCTACTGTTAGATTCTATGATGAATATGAGAAGAAAAATTAAAAAGCCAACCCTGAAAGAGCAAAGTAGATAATGCACTGCTCACTTTAAGGACAACTGATCAAAATAGCTTTGTGAAGAAATATCATACAAAGAATGCCCAATAGGATTATAATCAATTGACTGAGCAGTATTTGCCAAACACTCCTAGCCACAACAGAGGCAGCTAGATGGCAAAACAGGGAATAGTGCCAGGCCTAGAATCAGGAAGATCTGAATTCAAATCCAGCCTCAGACACTTACTAGTTGTGGGACCTTGGGCATGTCACTTTACCTCTGTCTGCCTCAGTTTGTTCAACTGTAAAATAAGGATCATAATACCTTACAGGGTTATTGTGAGGATCAAATGAGATAATATTTGTAAAGCCCTTGCACAGTGCCTGGCACATAGTAGAGTGCTTAATAAATGCTTATCTTCTCTCTACCCTCATCCTCATTGTAAGTTCAGAACCTCATGAGATGCTGTGAGAGATGCAGTAGTATGACATGGCTCTTGTTCTCAAGGAGATTAGAACTGAGACTATGGGGAGCTTCCTAACTGAGGAAACAAGATGAACACAGGAAAGTGTATCAAGCAATATAAGGCAGGATTAAGTACTAAATTATGAGTACGGTACCTATGAACTAGACACCATGAGTATGCTGTCTATAAGGAAACAAAGTGGTACAGTGGATAGAGCACTGAACTTAGAGTTAGGACAGACCTGAATTCAAATCCTGCCCCAGATACTGGCTGTGTGACCCTGGGCAAGTCAATTAACTTCTCTCAGACTTAGTTTCTTCATCTGTCAAATGATAACAATAGCACCTTGCCTCCTAGGGTTATTATGAGGATCAGATGAGCTTGCCTGGAAACTGCTTGGCAGACCTTAAATTACTATATAAATGCCATTATCAGTCAGCATTGATGAGACCCGAACTAAAAGCCTTTGTCTAGTTTCTGACTTTACAATTTAAAAAGGGCTGTGTAGGGGCAGCTAGGTGGCGCAGTGGATAGAGCACCAGCCCTGAAGTCAGGAGGACCTGAGTTCAAATCCAGCCCCAGACCCAACACTTGACACTTACTAGCTGTGTGACCTTAACCCCAATTGCCTAAAAGCCTAAAAAATAAAAAATAAAAAAATAAAAAGGGCTGTGAAAACCTTGGAAAGAGCTGTGGGAAGAGACCCTCTCATCTGTCTAGCTCCACAGAGGGCAGAATAAGAGGAAACAACCAAAAATGTCCATTCTCAGTCCTTCAAGTTAAAGAAGCTTTTTTTTAAAATAGAGAGTTAAACATTAAAATGAGTTTTCAAGGGAAATCAGGGGTGGGAAAAACTTTATTCTTTGGTGGTCTTCAAATATAATATTAATTTTCATTCGGCTTCAGTGATTCGGATGTCATCTTTTATAAGGGCAGGATTACCTCTCATATTCCTGACAGCACTTTTAGTAACTAAAATGTAGAGCTCACTTAGGTATTGAGCATAAGGTCCTCAGAATATCTCCTTAGGGCTGCTAAGCCAGTGGAGTTTCTATCTTAGGCCTCTTAAGAATATAGGGAATGAAGTTTATTAAATAAGCACACACTGCAGGAGTGGGGAACCTGCAGCCTCGAGGTCACATGCAGCCCTCTAGGTCCTCAAGTGCAGCCCTTTGACTGAATCCAAACTTCCCGTGAAGTCTGGCCACACTTGAGGTCCTAGGGGGCCGCATGTGGCCTCGAGGCCCCAGGTTCCCCACCCCCGGCACCAAGCATTATTCCTCAGATGCACACTAACTTGTGTTCCTTTGCCCTCTTCAGCTTAAGTTAGACCCTGACCACACTGACCAAGACCTGAACCCTGTAAACTGGAAGGTTCCATGTCTGGAGCCCAATTCCCCAAGCTCCAAAGGAAAACCACTTTGTATTACTTCGGAGTTGCAATTTCTTCACATGGCAAATGGCATGCTTTGTTTCACCATGCTCCCTCTCCCATTCAGGAGGCTGTGAGAAGCTGAGACAGAAAACTCTTCCTACCTTTGGCAGGGGGTGTTTCCTTCCCTGTGCAAGGATGCAATTTTACTCTCTTCTTTCCTCTCTTGGAATCAAAAATATCCTGTATTTTCAACACAAGCTGAAATCCCAAACAGAAAAGTATAGGTTACAAGTAGCAGCCACAGGCACCAAAACCCTGAGCTTTGTTTGAGTATCTTGTTCTCCAAGGCGATTCTTTTGTTCTAGGGGTGGGAGGTTTTTAAACTCTTTAAATAAAAGCTAAAGTTATGCCCTTTGGTTCACTGTCCCATGGTAGGGATGCCATTTTAACTGACAGTGATTAACTGTGGTTTGGAGTGCTGATCTCATTCAGTCAATGAAAGCAGAGGAGAGGGAGCTTGTTTCCAGAAGAGGTCCCTTGGAGGCCCTTCCAGGATCCCATGTCTCAGCATGTCAGTGAATCTGGTTAGTGTAGCTACATCTAAAGTGGGCTTTACTATCATGGAACTCAAGTTTCCTCTTGCCCAAAGTAGGAAGTGAAACATTCATTTACTTGGCAGGCAGGGTGGGGCTCAGTTATTTCTGTTCCCACCAATACTGTGCAAAGAAGAGAATAATCATACTTTGTCATCGTTTGCCAAATTGAACTCTCTACCTCTTTTGTCTAAGTAACATTACGAGGCTGTTTACAGACATGTCCAACACCGTCATGAGCACAAAAGGCCCTCATCCAATGTTCTTCCCTGAAGAATAGGAAGTCTAAGATGCATTTTTTATTTTGCTTCTTAAGGGCTGCCTCAAAAGTTAGCGAGCTCCCTGTCATGGCAGATGTTTTCTACCAAGCTTTCTGATCAGCTGGAAATAGAGTATAGCTAGCCAAGCCTCCTCTGGTGCAAATTCAGTTGTCCAAGGCAAGGGGAAAGTGGGATGAGGGGCAGGAGAGAGAAGACACAATGATGTGGGCACAGTCCCACAGAAGGTTATGCCCCACCTATAGTTGGGCTGGAAGGAGGTTACCTGTCCCTGCCTATGTCCACAGGGCGAGTTGTGCCCCATGCCTCTGGAGGATCACAGGGCAAGATATGAAGAAACTGTCTGCCAAGGGGAGGAAGCATACTTCTCCCATCCCCCCCCCCCACCCCATCAGCATCCTGGGACACAGCCCCATTCATCCCACCCTAATTATGGCTCTGGTAGCAGGCATATAGCAAGTGCCATGCTGGACTAGATGCCTTCTGAGGACACATCTAAAGTCAGGGATTCCATGAACATATTTTGTTATTTTCATTAGAATTATAGAATCTTAGAGTCCAAAGCAAACTTAGGAGTCATCCAGTCCAACCCTCACCTGAAACACAAATGTTCTTACACCAAACTGGACAGCCATCTTGCCACTGCTTGAGTACCTTGGCAAGGGACTCATGCTTCATTTATTATTTTAATCCATCTCAAGGGAATGCAGCCCTGCCCATTCATTGTCAAAACTCTTGCCCAACTGCTTCTCTGCATTATCTGGGCGTGTCTTTGAATTAGGGACCTGGCCCAGTTAAATTCTTTCTAAGCTTTTGGGAGGAGTTGGAGAGGGGGGTGCAGTTTGCTGAGGAGGAGCAGGATGGGGAAGAAGGAAGAAGGAAGCAGAGATAACTAATTGACACCTTTATAAGAGAAATTTATTTTCTAAAACTTCCTCATTAATTGAATGTTCTTTTATTCTTCATTATAGATTAGATTGTGAGATCCTTGAGGGTAGGGGCTGTCTTTTGCCCCTCTTTGTATCCCCAGTGCTTAGTACAGTGTTTGGCCCATAGCAGGCACTTAATAAATGCTTACTGACTGACATTATAAATCCATATTTGATATATTTAATACTAAGAATGTGTGCTATTGAGAGCATTACGTAAAAGTTCAGCTTCAGAATTGCTTGAGAAATATTCTAGTTGTTTTTTTGGGTATTTTTCGTGTTTCTGTAGCAATCTTGGCAATTGGAAAGCTGTTGAATCATTTCAGAAAAAGAAAATAGCACATGCTTCCAATACGCATAATGTTCCCACATTTTTGGATTGGTCTGATTTTCTAAAATTTTTCTTTTAGTCGATATTCACAGTAAAAGCAAAAAGTTGCTGTTCTTAAACCTTACTATAAAAACCACTACCACCACCACCACCAAATGGGAAATTCAGCGAAAAAACGGGTAGTATAGTAGAAAGTGCACTGGACTTGGAGTCAGAAGACCTGAGTTCAAATCCTGACTTTGCCGCTTACTAGCCATGTGATCTAGAACTTGTTTCTTATCTGCACAATGGGGATAATAATACTTGTACTCCATACTTCACAGGGGTCTCTGCAGATCACTCTCAAATGGGTGTTCTTCACTTGGGAACAGCGTCCTCTCAAAATGTCTATTTTGACAACTGTATTTCAATATAATTGGTTTCCTTTGTAAAATCCTCTGTATTTTGTGTTATGCATCTAAAAACCATTCTTCTGATAAGGGGTCCAGAGGTTGCACCACACCATCAAAACAAAAAAGTTTTGAGAACCTTTGCTTGAAAACCTCAAGAGTAACAGGAGGGGTAGTTCACATTTACAGGGCCCTTGAATAGTCACAAAACCGCTTTGCTCACAAAACACTGTATATAGATATAGACAGCACAAGTATTATTTATCCCTATTATACAATTTAGGAAACTGAGGCCCCTAGAAATGAAGAGACTTACTCCTGGTCACACAACTAGGGACCGTAGGAGTCAGGGTTAAAACCCATATCTGTCTTAACTTCAAGCTCTGTACCTATCACCCTTAAGCCTCATAAAATACTTAAAAAGAAAAACATATTTAAAAAGCTGAAAGACCAACATGGAAATCATCAAAGGCTGTTAAGGTGTTAAGTGTGAATTAATAATAACAGCAATAATAATGAACATTCCTATCTTGGATAAATAATGTCTAAAGAACAAGGCCTATAGGTACAGGGTTAAAAAAAAAAAAAGAATAGAAGAAGCATAATGATTATTTACAAGCATTTGAAGGAGAAGAGCTACTTTTTTTTGTACAAAAGTAAAAAGAGGAAATTAAATAATAAAAATTACAATTCAGGTTAAGAAGCTGGGAAGAGGAACCCCTGCCCACTTTTATAAAAGGAAGTTGTACTTGTTAGAATAGTCTCCTTAAGATATGATGGAAACCATATTGCTCTAGATGCTTGAACTAATAAACACTACAAAGCACTAGGAAATTTATTGTAGCAAATAATTCCACCCAGGCCACCCTCCAATCCACAGCAGGGAAGAGAAAGGAAGGGTGGGGGAGGCATATGGACTAGATCAGTGATTTTCAAACTGTGAGGCCAGCTTCTCTTCCAGGGAAGGCTCCAGTCAACACACCAAATGCCATTCTTGTGGAATGCTGTTCTGAGAACACTCCAAAGTCAAAATCTCTATGACACATGGAGCAACTTGAAAGGATTCAGTCTCCAGGCAGGGCTTCAGGTAGGCCCATTAACCATCCACTCTTGCCCACCTCTGAACACATTCGTTACCGGTTTTTCTCATTTCTACCTTTTCAAGAAAGTGTTCTGGTTAGGCCAAAGGAAAGAATGAGCCTATTCCTCTCAGGCAGAGTGAAACTCGGTAACTCCGAGTAGTTAACTTTAAAGCACAATATAAATATCACTGTCTTAATTATTTTTACTTATTAGAGGGTCAACTGGGAGCAGTGTTGGAGGAGCATAAGAACCTAATAGGACTAGGAATGCTGTCTAAATTCTACAGGCCAACAGGGAGAAGCTGAAATGCCTTCATATATGAGGGAACACATCATTGGTGCTTCTGGGTTGTGTAGGAGGTCACTTTGTTATCTCAGCATGATGAACACCACAGGCAAAGATGCATATAGGGTTCCTGGCACTCTTATTGAAGCCCTCAATTTACAAATATTTCTCAACATTTAAACAAGGATGAAGAGCTCAAGAGAATATTCACTAAAAAAAAGACCCAAACTCCCTCCCAACTCTGATATTCTCTGAACCCTGTGTGTCCTTAACTCTTTCACAGACTGAGGAGGGAGTGGCAGGAAACATCAGAAGAATTACGGCAATTAGGAAACAAGATCATTCCCACTGAGCCAATCTCGGGTCACTGAGCCAAGAAACAGCTGTTTTTGTGCTTTTTTTTTAACATTAAAGTCAACAATACAGATGAATGTGCTAAATGGCTTTCTAGAAAAGCCAGGGATATTTCAGTTTTTTTAGGTCACCCATAGACCCCTTCTCCAAATCATGTTTTAAGATCATTCAAGGAAGTGTTCCATTTCAATTAGAGGTTAATGGAAATGAAGATCTAATTTTTTTTTCCATCCTAGTTCACAGACCACTTGACATTGATCCACAGACCCTTTAGGGGTCCATGGACCCCAAATTAAGAACTGCACTAGAACTAGCTCACAGAGAATTAAGACAGCAAGCAAGTATTAAAGTGATCAGAATTCTGAGGTACTACATGGCTTTATAACTAAAGCTTTAATTACAAATTTCAAAAGCACTTAGAAATTCAAAGTGTTTCTAAAATAGAATGACTTCCTATCACTTCCTATATAAAGATATTTGTCTCATTGGTAACCCCTACCTTGTTAGCCTTTCTTTTAAGAGGCCACTGGGAGCTGGGGCCTTATCACTGATATGCTTAATGCCAATATTTAAGACACCAGCAAGGCTAGTCCAGAAGACTTAACAGCCACCATTCGCTAACCTTCCTCCTTTAAGGAGAAAACATTTTCTCTAGACCAACCTTGTCCGGTTATCACCAGCTCCAAAAGAATAAGCTTTAAACAAACAAACAAAAGAAACTCTGCCTTCCTTTCCTCTAAGTGAAATGTGCATTGTTGCAGATATATTGAGTAAAGGCATAAAAAGCCATCCTCACTTGATGGATAACAAAAGAAACTAAAAGAACAGGAGCTAAATAAAAGCAGATCAATGTGTTTCTAATATATGAGACTCCAAACTCTGAGATATGAGACTTTGGAAAGGCCTCTGATTTTTATATAAACGGAGGTAATTAGAAGGAAAATCTGAGATTTAAAACATCGAAAATAATCCGGATCTGCCAAATACATAAAAGCAGCTTGGCCAAAAGCCACTTATTTGACTCTCCAGCCTTGGCTGCGGAAGGTCAGCTCTAACCCACTCTTCATTTTCAGAGTAAAGTGTGTTTAGTTTTGCTCTTTCATAGAACAATGCTGAAGTGTTCAAGAAGAAGGAAGGTATTAGAATCCTCCTTACCCTTGGGAGGTTTTTTCTTTTCCTGTTTGCAACTTCTCCAGCTCGAAATACTTTCCACTCCGTTAAAGTGACAGGCAGAGTCGTGTCTTTTGGGCGCTTTGAACGTAAATAGGCTTGTGAATTCTTTAGCTCCATAGTCTTACGATAGAGGAATGGAGGTTTTGGAGGAAGCTAAAGAAAGGAAGAAAGTTCACTGGTAAAGGGCATAAATTTGAGTATCCTCTATATGCCTAAAGGAGTCCATAAAATGTTATCCAGTCCTCTTTAAAATTTTCCAAAGCAAGAATTCCAGTCTTTCTTGGTCAAAAGAATCACAGTGTTTTGTAACTCTTGGAAAGTCTCCCTCAGTTCCAATTGAGATCCCTCCCACTGCAATTTAAGTATATTTCCAAAGAATCACGTCTCATGGTCATACATATTGAAGACTCTTCTAACCCTTTTGTTTGGATTAAAGAGATGGCTCTAGGGCAGCTAAGTGGTGCAGTGGATAGAGCTCAGGCCTTGGAGTCAGGCGGACTCAAATTTGACCTCAGACACTTGACTATTACTAGCCGTGTGACCCTGGGCAAGTCACTTAAGCCCAACTGCCTCTGCAAATAATAATAATAATAACAATAATAATAAAGAGATGGCTCTAATGTTTCTTACTAGTAGTCAATCCAACCAAATGTTGTCACATACCTTGGGTGGCTTAAAAGTATTTTTAGAGGGTGGCAACTTCCATGTTGAGGGAGCCCTCCACACAGGTATAGGTGTTACTTTGATATCCTCATATGGATTCTCTTTGGCAGGGTCTTGAAAAAATGTGCAAAAAAATTACAGAAAATAATGGTCAAAAGAAAGCAGAGTCACCACAGCTAGCAAAGGCAGTATCAATCCACTGCATATACGCTAAGACCTCTTATTCTGTTCTGCTGAAGGGATCTAGGTTTATAATCCAAGCAACCCCACTCAACCCTACAAGCTACCCAGGAGGGAACACCTACAGATAAGGGTATATTGGTAAACATTTAAGAACCAGCTTTGAAAGCTAGTAGTAGAAATGGCAACCAGCTTCACAAGCTGGTTGTAACATTTGTTGGCATACCCTCGTCCACAGGGGTTCACTCCTTTGCAGCTTATAGGGTTGAGTGAGGTTGCTTATAATTTATACATATACATATCTGTGTATGTATATATAATGCATCATATATACACATGTATGTATTATATATAATATACATGCTATATATATGTATATATCTGCATTATTAACATTTTCTTAAGTTTTAAATCAACAAAACAATAAATCAAGCCATGATTTATAGTGTTTGCCAATTTCCAAGTGGTCATTGCTCACACTGAAAATTTAACAATTGGCTCTTCAAGGCTGAAATTGGCTTTTAGGGGCTGATTCTGAGCTGGCTCCAGGATACCCCTGCTACTAATAAACGTAAATAAGATACTGTACAAAGTTTATCAACATTCTATGTGGACAGCCTACTAAGGCAGCTGTAAAAATCCAGTACAGAAGAGGGAAAATTATATTTGGGAGGTTCAGATTTTTTCCCTTTAGGGCAAGGAGTGACTGATTGTGAAAGAAATCACCACCCTACAGTTAAGGGCTTTGCCAAATTCATACTTATTAAATGTAACCAGACAGATTGTAGATACCTACATATGATATCCTCATAGATATTGTCCTCTGACTGTGTGTAATAAAGTGCTGATCCAGAGCTTCCTCCAAGTTCTTCCTGGATCTTGGGTGAGTTACGATTCCGAAAGTGCTGGATATCTTCAAACTCAAAGGATTTCCTAAAGAAGACATATTTTCCAATATTTTTTTGCCCAAATCCCACTCTCTGTCAGTATGGTAAAGATAAAAGAAAGGATGAAATTAATAGAATCAAATTTGATAGCAAAAGTGTTTTCATTGGCAGATAACTATGTGTGACAGAATAAGCTAGCTATATACTTTGGACATATTGTGGGAAATTTTTTTAAACTTTCAAAAAATTTTATGCAATAAAGTTCATTTTTTTTTAAAAGAATGGTCCAAACCACAGTAAAAAAAAAAATTGGAATTAAGTTCTGCATGTTCCACAGAGTGAGCTCAAGTATGTGCTTCAGCTATACCTTTTTAAAAGCCCGGAGCTGCTAGCCTGTGCTGCTGTTCCCAAGCTAGTACATTAGCTAATTCCTGTCCTTCCACTTTTTCCTGTTCTACTTATTTTTTTTTTCTCTCAGGTAATTCAGTGCTGATGTATTCAGAATAAGACTGTAATCAAAAGAAGGAAAATGGTCCTGAGCCTGTTGTGAAGAGGAAAAAGGAGTTCCACAACTCTGCAAATACTAAATCAAAATTCAGCAACATCAGAGCCTCTGGATTGGAAGGGATGTCAGAGGCCATCTAGTTCAACCCATAACACTTGTAATCACTTCTAAAATGACTTGAGACAAACCTTTTAGATCTCCTTCTAATTTTTCCACCATATTTCTTTGTTTCAGGACCTGGATCAGGAGGCATGGGGGGCTCTATAAACAATTTATCCAGTGGCTGCTTTTCACAGTACTCTCTTTTACAGTCACTCTCTTTAAGTGGCATACCATCTGATTCAGATAAATATCTGAATGTCCTACGAGGCTTTGGCAGAGGGTTTATAGAAGATCCAGCTTCTTGTCCCTCAGGATCAGAGTAAACATTTTCTAAACTCTTGGCTATTCCATTTGGCCTATCCAGAACTCTGAAATTCAGTTCTTTTGCTGGAGAGCCACAGCTTTCTAAGGACAAATTCAAGACTTTATCTGGAGGAAGTGCTTCCATTTTCTTCCATAATACTCTTGAGGTATAAAAGTTTCCAGGAGGCAATGTATTCTCTGGATTCAAAACATCATCTTTCCAGCTGTCAATGTGTTTGACCTGAGAACACACCATGTTGGTTTCTGCTTTGTTGTTAAATAAACTTGAATCATATTCACGCCTCTCATTTTCATCCTCACTCTGATCACAGCTTTTGACCTCTTCTTCCCTCAGATCCAGTCCCAGATTTGGAGAGTTAATAGGTCCCAACTTTTTACTCTTTTCCACAGAAGCAGCTGTTGTCTTAGAAAAAACATTACGATTACAGTTATATCTTACTCCAAAGTCCTTCAGTTGCCGGTGTTCTGGATTAGATCCACCGTTCGTCCTTCCTTCCCACTGAGAGATCTTTTGCTGGATGTTCTTGCAATGGCTTCTCGACAGTGTCTGGACAGCCGAACGGGAAAAGCCAAGCTCCATATTCCCTGTTGGGCGCATGTCAACTGACTGAATTTTTATAAAGGCGTCACTGCAAGAACTGGTACAGGGCTGTTCTCCTCTTTCCCTTCAGTTGTAATCCCCATGAATATATTATTTCCATTTCATCTGCAACCTGAAATGGCTTTTAAAAATTCTTTTGTAGAAAAGTGCCAAGAGCTTGATCTGAAACAGTCCTATTCAAAAAGGAAGGAAAAAAAGTAGAATGTAAAACCAAAAAAAAGGATTTTAAGTCCCAATTTTAACTACTTTGGTAGTTGAGTAGCCTCATTAAAGTCCTACTATGATACCTCATCATGGTATCATCCCTTCCAATCCAGAGACCTCTCACTGGTTCTGTTCCAGCACATCCTACCAAGTTAGAAATGCCTCCAGTACAGACCTGACCACCCAAGGTCGACCAGGTCTGCTCCCCCAGGTCTGGTCAAGTCCAGAGAGATCAATCATCAGAAGGTGTGCTGATAGCAAGCAAATTATTTTGACCATGGCAATTCATAAAGACCATCTGCTATGCTAAAGCAATGGAAGGAGCAGACATACTGATAAAATCACAGATCTTTGGAAATACCGAAGCACACAGCCCTAAATAATATACTTGTATTGCATATGTAAAAATGTCCCGATTGTCTGTGAAATACTACAACCTCTAAAAGGTATCCCTTGAAAGAGGGTGCCAACAGTATTATGAGAACCTTACCTTTGACATTTCCCAACATGATGAATGTAGATCAGCATTAATTAAAATAAAAGACCTTGTAACTCATGCTTTTATAATAATCTATTCTGCTCTGTTTTATTCTACACTTATTGTACACCACTGCTTATTTACTTCTGTTATATTTTCCCCTTGTGTAATTCCATAAGGGCAGGAACATGTCTTACTTATCTTTGCATCTCTCTCAGAGCCTAGCATAGTGCTTTGCATCTGTATAAAGCGTTGCTGAATAAACGAAATTTTAATTTCCTGAAGCAGGGCAGTCCCGCTTTTTTTTTTTTTTAAAGAAGCTGGTCATAAAAGTACACACAATTAATTTCATCTATAACTTCTTTTCCTCCTAAAGGCTTTTCATATTATCATAGATTTGGGACTAAAAGGAGCCTTAGAAGTCATCTTGACTAAAACCTTCATTTACATGGGATGTAACAAAACCTGGAGGTTAAATGACTTAAGTGGCAGAGCCAGCTCCACCTGTCACACCCTGAAAAGAAAGAGAAAAAAAAAGATGTATAAAAATAACACCTTAGTGAGTGAAAGATTGGGTAAGGAAGGAAACAAGCATTTATTAAGCACCAACTATGTACCAGGTGATGTGTTAAGCACTTTATGAATATTATCTCACTTGATCTTCACAACAACCTTGTGAGTCCCCCTTTTACAGTTGAGGAAACTGAGGAAGACAGAAGTTAAGTAAGAATAGTTAACAATAGCTAACATTTAAATAGCACTTACTATGTACTAGGCCCTAAACTAAGCACTTAACAAATATTATCGTGTTTAATCCTCACCACAACCTTGGGAGGTGAATACTATTTTTATTCCCCTTTTACCAGTGAGGAAACTGAGGCAAAAGAGGTTACGTGACTTGCCAAGTATGGTGATGCTAGTGACAGACTCCCAGGTCTTCCTGACTCCAGGCCTATGGCTCTGTCCATTGGGCCACCAGGTTGCCCATGAGGAGAGTCAAATGAAGCAGGACAGTCTAGGAGAAAGAACACTGTTCTGAGGATCAGGAGTTTTGGTTTCCACACTTGCTAGCGGTGTGGCCCTGGGCAAATCACACAGCCTCTTGGAGCTTCAACTTCCTCATCTATAAAATGGACATAACAATACTACTTGTTTCCAACCTCTGTAAACCTTTAAGTACAATATAAGTTAAAAATGTCCGCTCTTATTTTATGAAAATAACTTAGCTTGGAGGTCTTGTCAAGTGCTTTGTGGGATTTCTCCATTTCTTCATCTTCTGCGATGGCTGTTGGGATATCGCCCTCTCCGCCATTTCCCTTCCCCAGGTGACGATTTACCTGTCTGCGTCCTTATTGCCCTTCTTGACCCCTCCGCAGCAGAACTTAAGTTTCTTGAGGGAAGGTGCTGTTTTCATTTCTGCCTTTATATCCCCAACACCTGGGACACAGTAGGCACTTAAGTGCTCGTTGAATTGAATTGAAACTACATAAATGGGAGGTGTGTAATCAGCCCAGTAAGGAGGCAGTTGGGAAGCAGGCTCACTGGCTGCCCCTCCCATTTTCCCTTCGATGTGAAGATCACTCTAATCCACCGTGACGTTTTATTACCGTCTTGCCTCCAGAGTGACACCCAGAGCTGAAGATCCCAGTGCCCATTAACAGTCTTTCTGTGCCCCAAACCTGAACTTCTCACCACACTGCTGCCTCTCCTGTGACCCAAAACAGCAAACGAGGCAGAAAAGTAATACTTACAGTGACTGTCTCACATGCCTTCCTTTCACACAGAGGTCTCACTCAGTCAGGCCCATTAGCCACTTCCTCACATGTAGGTTTTGGCTGAAAACTTTCCCCTCCTATCCTGAATGCAGACCTGAGCTCACGTTCTACTGTATACGACTTATAAATAGTAATTGATTCAAAACTTCCTGAGCCACGGGTCATCCTTCCTCAAGCTTTGTCTGCTCGGCCTTGATTAACAGGCAGGAAAGCGTCCTGGCCTCCCTTGTCAGTGCAGCTGACCATAATTGATAAAAGAACACAAAAAAACACTTGTCATTGTAGGCACAGCAAATGCTGATGGGAAGGAATTATAATCAACTTTCCTGTATCCCATCCAGGGAAGCCAGTAGGAAGGATGGCACTTGGCTCAAGGGAAGATGGGATACTGCTCAAAACGAAGCAAAATGAAAACCATGCGGATAGAAGATGGCACGAAACAATCGCATCAGGGCACAGTGGCTGCAGTTCAGCTCCAAAACTCTTTAAGAACGCCCTCCTTTGTTCCAGTGTTTTCAGTTGGACTGCTCTTGGAAAGAACGTTTTTCTTCACCAGTCTCATAAATGAGTACTCTCCCCTTTGTAGCTGGTGGGCTTTTAACAGCCTGGAAAATTTTTTTAAACTGTCTGAACCTTAGTTTCCTCATCCGTCAAATGGGAATAATAATGCCTGCAGTATCTACCTCAAAGGGTTTTTCTAAGGTTGAAATGAGACAAAAGTACCTAAAGCACTTTGCGAACTTTACACCACCCTACAGCCACGGATATGTATATGTTTTACTATGGTTGGAAGTAGATTGAGTATTTTGGAAAGAGAAAAAGCAAACAAAATGACTCCTTAGGCTGCCCTAAGAGGAAAAGAATTTTAACTTTAAAACAATCAGAAAATAGCACAGTCCAGGCAAATCCCATAGAAACTAAAATCTGGCTCTAGTAACATCTCATATTCACATCCGGGGCCCCAGCAAAACCCTAGAAGAGACAAGCAAACTGTAGTTGGTTTTCAATGTTAGACTAGTTTATCCCAAGGAGGTCAAGGCAGGGTGTTGCTGAGGATAACATGCTTAGAGGCAGGGAGACAGGTTCAAATCTTACTTCTGTCATTTAATAGAAGTTCTTCCTTGGAAGCAACTCTCTAGGATTTATTGTAGCTACTATGTCTTAAACCCATTTCCACCTGGGTCAAGCGAGAGAGTTTTCTCACAGAAGATTTCCTTCACTTATTCCTGTATTCTTTGGAAATCTTATTGATAAATCTAAGTTGCCTGTACCAATGTGTCATACTGATAGGTTAGTTTTATAAACTTTATTTTTTCTTATGAGTTTAAGAAAAAAATACATACTGCCTTTTCTCTGAAGTTTTTTTTGCTTTTTGTTTTTTGGCCAACCTACACTTTCACTGGTATAGGAAATTCCCAAGGTGGAAACTCTCCACCAATGTAAAATGAGATTTTCTTTGCCATTTATAATCTTAAAGAGCTGGCACTTGGGACACAGAGAAGTTAAGCTAGTTGCTTATGGTCACACAGCCAGGATGTAACAGAGGTTACATTCACACTCAAATATTTCTGCCTCCAAGGCCAGTTTGCTGCCTCTGTTTTCTCTTTAAATAAGAACTAAATCATTGTCTGACGGCAAAGTGGAAGTACAGGATAGCCAACAAAGCAGCTGACCAAAAACCAGGAGACTGTA